GGTGGCGGTGGATTGGTGATGGTGTCGGTGGTCCCTAGCTGGTGTTGGTGGCGGTGATGTCGATCTTGTGATGGATAGTTGGTCGCAGTGATGGCGGCGGCATCGACGGTGGTGTTGTATCGGTGGTAGTCACAAATGATTTGTTGAATTGTGAGCAATAAATTGATGGTGTGTGATCAATAAAAAATAAATTGTGATCAATAAATACTGTGTGATATACCATTAAAAATAATTTGTGACCTATAATTTGATATTTTGTAACCATAAAATAAGTTGTGTGACTTATAAATTTTGTGATTTGTGACCGATGAATAAGTTTTGACTTTTAAATTTTTAATTTGTGATCGATAAATTAGTTGTAACCTATAAAATTTTTGAATTGTGACCAAATTTCATATATATGTGACATTTATATATTTATTAATAAAATATATAATTAATTAATTAATTAAATCATAAATAAATTTTAATGAAAACTTGATTTTTGAAATTTAAAATCTATATCCTTAATTCTGAAAGAGTGTTTATTAAAAACATGATTTATGTATTGTTCCCTAAGAAATATTTGCTTGGGCTAAGTAAGAAGGCTTTGCTTGTTATTTTGGGCTTGGCCTATTGACACAATAATCTACTTTGGCCCGGCTATGAATAGAAACCCTATTTTCACATACGACGTCGCATTGCACTGGGAAGCAGGAAGCTAATAAGACACCCAATAACCCTTTCTAGGGTTTACGAAACGCTATCGCCTCCTCTTCGCTTCCGCCGCTCTCTAACCTCAGCCCCAGTTTGCCCTCTCAATGGTGCGCCGGGGATTCTGTTCAACGGAAAATTACTTTACATATCGAATTTTATGTATAATCTGTTATTGTTAAACTTTTATCTGTTAATGGATGTAGGCGCCGAAGAAGGATAAGGCTCCCCCACCGTCATCGAAGCCGGCAAAGTCTGGGGGTGGCAAGCAGAAGAAGAAGGTCGTTAATTATTCCTCAATTCCCTTGTACATTGACGGATCCAAATTATTTTGCTTATTAATATGAGTCTTAAGAGTGTCATTTGTGTGGAAAAATGCGCAGAAGTGGAGCAAAGGAAAGCAAAAGGAGAAGGTGAATAACATGGTGCTTTTCGACAAGGCCACCTATGATAAGTTGCTTTCTGAGGCCCCGAAGTATAAGCTCATCACACCTTCCGTCCTCTCCGACCGTCTCAGGGTATTTTTATTTTTTTAGATAAGTGTGTAAATGCTATGTTTTTTTTGGTGTCAATGATTGAATATTGGTTATGCTACAATTAAGTTAACAGTTGAGTGCATATAATTTAGAGTATGGATCTGCAAAATTTATTGTAAGTCTCAGATATCTTCACGAATTCAATATTCTTATGTAATTTTATTTCCGATCATAATTTCATGTACCTTTTTCAATGAGCGAAATTTGCTTATGCTATGAATATGTTATGGATCATAGGTATCATTGAGTGATACGTAATTTAGTGTATGAATCTTGAAAAAAATGTTCTCCTGGTTGTTATTGTTGAAAAAATGAGTGTTGTTTGTTGTGCATAGAATGCACTTGAATTAGGAAAATATTGCTAAAGCTAGGTAATGTCGCTTTAAAAATTTTACCCTGTAGCTGATGAAATGTTGTGGCATTTGGTTCTTTGAAAGAATAGTTCTGAGTTTAGCCACCAATTGGTATGGTTTGTTGATTTCAAATGTTTTGCCATAGGTGTCTGGGAAATATATAGGTAATTTGTATACCACCATCTAAACATAGATTCCAGATAAATATTGTGTAGCTGAAATGTTCTTTGGTATTTGAAACAAAATACTTCATAGTTCTCTGTTAGGTTTGAGAATAACGATTGGTAGTATAGAATCAACTTCTTTTCCGATTTTTTCTGCTATTCCTGTGATAATTGTTTGAAGTCACGCCTCTTGAGCATATTAGGCGGGAACTCTATAATATGCCTCTAGGATATGTGCTTTTGCCCGAACTTCTACATTAGGCTACTTTGATTGCTTATATCACTTCCACTACTAACTGCTCCTTACCATACTTGACTATTTTCTGTTTTGGAATTGGAAACGAATGAATTTAATGTGTTTTATATTTCTGAATGTACACTTGTTCAGTAAAATTTCATGCTTTACCCCTACTTCTATTCATTTTATCAAATAGTTGAGCTCTGCACAACCTGCATGGTCTTACATTGTTGAACTCTGGACAATTGTTTCCATGTATTGTTTTTGATTTTTTCTCTATGTTTGTTACAGATCAATGGATCACTTGCAAGGAAGGCAATAAGAGAACTGATGGCTAAAGGTTTGATCAGAATGGTGTCTGCTCACTCAAGCCAGCAGATATACACTAGGGCCACTAACACCTAGGTGCCGTATTGATTTACTGGGAGAGTTCATATGGATTTTGCTATTTAAATCATTGTTCTTTTTATCTTGAGCATTTAAAAGATATTCAGCATGATATGGATACTGCTTTAATGTGTTTTTTTTTATCATTTTTCTAAATCTTTTCCATCTTTTAGATGGTTGTTAAGTTTCTTTTAGCTGGCTTTTGCATTTCCATTTAAAAGTATGGTATATTCTAGATGTGGGAATACAATTATTATTAGTATCATGTGATTGTTGAGATTGGTCGTCGTGCAACTGATGACTTAATCTGTGGATAGATGATTGGTGATTTTTTCTGGCATTGTTATTTTTTGAGTATGCCGAGATGGTTTATATGGGGGTTTTGAGTTTGCTTATGAGGTTGTAATGCTCAAGTGTGAAGGCTATATTATATCGATCTTGGCTCTTTCTTTTTTATGTTAAACTGTCTCTCTGTTCTCTCGTGAGACATGGAAACCTGCAGGTGATGCTTATCTTCTTGTAAATAATTCCAGTGATCTGGAAATTCCCCGAGTCTTGTGATTTTTTAATGTTTTGGTTTCTCAAGTATTGGTGAACTTGATTAGAAATGCAGAATATTGGGCATTATGTGAAAAGTTTAACTAAATGTAAAATTATATAATTCATTCATTTACTTTTAGTGCATCTAAGCTTATAATTGCTTCTAAGTTACTCAAATTTTATTTTTATTTATACATATAGTAGAATTCACAATTTTTACTTATTTGTTATTCACACATTTTTTAGGACTCGTGACATTTTAAGTTTTTGCAGAAATGCACTATTTTTAGTTAAAGCATTGGAAATTTGAAAATGTCAAGGTGTTTGATTTATTTATTTATTTATTTTTTTCTGTTAGTATTTTAGTAATGCTACATGTACGAAATTGGGTTATAAAATTGTTTGACAAAATGAGTGGCAAGATCTTGAAATCATTGGCTTAGATCTTGTCACCCATTTTGTAATCCAATTTTGTACACGGCATTGCTCTTTACCATTTTACATAAAAAGTTGTGAGTAAAGAGGAATTTGTCATCGAATATGTGAGAGGTAAAGTAAAATTTCGATTAATGAATGATTGATAAATTAATAATCTTGTTTAAATAATAAATTTTTTTGGTCCCAATTTTGGTCAGTGTACTAAATTAATGATTCTGTTAAATGCAGTTAAAAATTTTTATTTTTTTTACGAGATCATACTTCTTAACTATGAAACTAATGGCTTGATGCTTCTTACTTTATGGGTGGGAGTTTCCCAGCAATCCTTTGGAGCCCTTTTTGCCTTAACACCCGCGCTTTATTGCACTCGTTCGAGTTGTAAATCAGCTTTTTCAAAAACTTCAAAACATGCATTTTAATTATTCGTTAACCCTTGTTTCGAAAACTCATTTGCAATCATGCATTTTATAGGATTCAAAATTATTATCAACTTTTTAATTATATATTTTATCAATTTTTATCAAAATTTACTATAATTTGCTTTGTAGTTAAACTAAATCGGGATTTTATATTTTTAAGGCCGATAGGAAAGACACTTAGCGTTGATTCATTTTCTGAAACATACAGATATGGAAGCTATTCAACATTAGTCTCTTTTTAACTTCTACTTGTATTGTTGCGGGGGTTAGTTCACGATCGGGGCGTTAGCCCTCGACAGTTCAAGTCCAATTTTATTTATTTATTAGCTAGCGTAAAAATAATAATAATAATTGTCCTTCCCTAGTTGATGGAGTAGACAAGAATGTAGCTCAAAGGTACGTTTTACTAGGCTTAAAAAGATTTGCGTACGTTTCATTGACTGAACGATTAGGTCAACAACTGCAAGAATCATCGCCTCTTTCAGACTTTCAGTATAGGAAAGATAAATAGAAAGATCGAGATTGATATAAAATTTGATAAAATATCTCGTGACATTTTATTATTGGACAATTTAAAAAACATTCAGTTTTTTCATCCATTAGATACTGCCACATGAGAACAGAGTAGCTTTTTCTATTCAACTTACAGTCAAGTGTGGGTAGAAAGTAGTTCAACAGTTAATAGTGTAATAAATAATTGGATAACGCTATAATCCTATTTGGGTTATAACTCTAGTTTAGGTGACGCTGGATAATAAGTCAAATGAAATGTGAAATTAATAAATCATTTAATTCCACTTATCATTTAATTTTACATTATTTTTTTTGATATCCAGGTGTCCAACTTCGACAATTAATCGTGGAATTTACGCTTTGACCACTCAAGACGCAGTCCAGATAAATCGTAGAATTTGCCCCAAAATTAGCGAGTCAACACATGTTGCAACCCAGTTAGGTCACTTAACATTACTCTTATGTTTGTGCATCATGCTTGACGTCATAATTTGATTGGTTCAAAACTTTTTTTTTCAAAAAAAAAAAAAAATTGATCAATAGCGTGTTGCACCTGCCTCATGTCATAACGTAAAAAATAATGTAAAGAAAAATGTTCATACAAGTAGCAAATGTACGGAGCAATTAAGCATCTATTGGATCCAAATTTCAAGAAGAAAAACACAATCTGCACGAACTAAATTATCCAGAGTGAATTCCTCAACCCAGAAATTCAAGATCTACTCACTTTTGGCTTTGGCAAGTGCTTTTTTCCTCTGGCCAAGCATGTACCCGAACAAATGGGGACTCCCCGGAACATAAACGCCGAGAACCCCAAGTGCCAAGTAATAGTAATCAAAGGAAAAATTCCATTTGTTAGGCATGCTTATGCTGTATTTCAGTGATTCCTTCATGAAAGGCAGTGCAATGTATATCAAACCCACTTCACTTGAAATTCCCGTAGGGTACAGTATAAGAAACGTGCTGTACCTCAGCCAAAGCAGCCAGGATGGAGCAGAACCGAAAGCTTCCTTCAAACCGAAAAACGAATATCGAATAATCTCAGTAATTGACCAGCTAATCACCAGTGAACTCACGAGAAAATGAGTCCTTATTTCAGGAAAACTCCACAAAATCCCCCACGCCACGTACAATCTGGAGCTGATTTGGGGCAGAGTAGCACTGACCGGAGATCTGACCAATCCAATTAGACCGTGTAGAATCTCGAACACGGCGGCAGTTTGTGCCCAGAGCAGCGGCTTCTCGACGGCGGCGTAGACATGTTCGTGGCCGGATTCCTTCAGCGTCTTTACAGAAAGGTAAAACACTTGTAACCATCCGATTAACACGGTCCAATTGTAGATTGTCAGGTAAATTCTCCGCGAAATTGAGAAAAACTCGGCCATTGGAAGTGAATTTCGGCGAGTAGATCTGAGTTAAGAGTAAAGAGAGAGAGAGTGTGTGTGGAGTATATGAAGACAGGGTTATTGAGTATTGAATGGGGTTAGGTGGGCTGATTAACTGTTATAGGACCCTGTGAATTAATTATGGGATTTCGATCAATTTATCAACTATCAACAACTTTTTTATATAAATTTATAATTGAAAAGGAAAATGAAAGAAATTTAGGTCCTATTTGTTTCGGATTAAAATCAGATTTTAATTTAAATCAAAATCAAACAATCAATATTAAGTATTAACCATATTTTTCATAGGTCTCACAGCTTTTCAACCACACATTTCAAAAATTTATATTACAATCCACTAAAAATCTACTTTTAATCCTCACCAAACATCCTCTTAATTATACGATTCCCTTTATGAAGTTGTATGAATACTGTAATTTGGGTCTAAGTCATTTACGGCAGCATGTTCAAGAGACTCTCTAAATAAAAATAGTCATTATTTTAAAGAGTTAATATTTAAAAATAAGTTTTAATAGACTGTCAGCTTGACTCTCCAAATTTAGATAGTCAAATTTACTCTATATTCTTATTGTAGTCACAGGTTTCAATACACTAATTCTTAAACCATTCGAACCACATTTAAATTGATTGATTATTGACATATAAAAAAATATGTTAAATAAAATATGAGAAAGAATTAATAAATATTTCTCGAGAAAAACAAAACGATGAGCCAAAATATAGAGTATTGTTGGAGTGCGTAAAAAAAATTGACTTCAAATGATCTCAATAATACATAAGATGCTCTCTATAATGTATAAGGTGCTCTCTATAAGTAAAGAGTCGCTTGAAGATGTTCTTACTCTCCATCTAGAAAAAATATGAATTATTTATAAATGGTCAAATTTCATTTTCTATTATACATTCGAATGGATCTTCAAGTACTAATCATTTATTTGTAATTCATTTATATTTATATTTAAATTAAATTAAATGGTTTATATTTTTCCCGAAATGGAGGCAATGTTATGCAGAAGTGGAAAAACAATAATAACGAAACGCAAACTTAAATATGTAATGTTTCAAATGGCCGGTTTGATTTAGATTTTTAAATAATAATTTAGTGAAAATTGATTTTTTTTTTTTAAAGAATGCGAGATTAAAACGTAACAAAAAGTTATGCATTTACATAAAAATTATTTTATTGGGTGTTTGATGAATATTATGGAGAAAAGAATGTATTTTAAATATTGATATGATGGGGAATATGTGGTTAAAAAGTAAGAAAAAACTATTGAGAGAATGTGTGTCAACCAGGGGCACAAATACGAGTTTGAGAATGATTTATGACAAAATGTCGTTATGACTAATTACATTATAGTTGCGCACTTCATTGTTAGAATCCTAAGAAATAACAAAAAAGCTATTGGTACAATCATTAGTAGGTTACAACACTTACAACACACTCACATTAGTTTGGACCCCACCAATTAATTAATTGGTGGGACCCACACTAATGTGAATGTGTTGTAAGTGTTGTAACCCATTAATGTAACCCACTAATGATTGTACACCTAGCATGGTTCAAGAAATAATAACTTAATACCTATTGGGTCAAACATTTTAGAATTAATTAGTGGGGCACACACTAATCAGTCAGGGCTGTAAAATGTTCCATTAAGGACTGTACGTGCAGCATCTCTCAACATTTTAACAAATACAAATAATATAGAATGAACAATGTTATGCGTACAATGATTAGTGGTTGACAACACTTACAATACATTCACATTAGTATGGTCCCAACGTGTGTTGTAAGTGTTGTCAACCACTAATCATTGTACAAATAGTTTTTTTTGCTTGTGCTTTGTTGCTTGCCTATTTTCTTCAATGAAAGGACATCTATCATCCTATTGAACATTTCTATTAATGCAGATCTTATAAGTTTGGTGGTATGTCAACATATAATCAATGTTTCTCAACCCTATAAAAATGGAGGGATAAAGCAAAGCTTATTGATTGGCTAACTTTGGCGTGTCATTTGATTTTATGTATTCTGAGAGTGAAATCTTTTGCCTTTAATGAAAAATATAAAGATTAATAATTAGATTTTGTGGTCTAGAGTCAACTACGAATTATCTAATTATTGGAGCTTGAAATGTATATTTCCGAACAAGTCTATTGTAGCTCAATAAAGTTTTAGACTCAATTGTAATTATTTGAAAGTTTTGGACTCTGAATAATAATTGCAATTAAAGTTCGAGGATTACATATATAATTAAACCAATTTAGACCTAATTAGACGTGAACCTGAACTAAACTTTTTGGCCTATAAATATAGATATGTAGGGTCGAAATTAGATTTAAAAAAATACATATCCTCTTGTTTTATTGATATTTTCTTGGTCCGTTCAGTCTATAATTGAGTTTTTATTTTACAATATTTTTGATTTAATTGAAAAAAAATGTCCACACGTCCGTATAGTACAAAAAAACACATTCTTGAAATAAAAAATTTGGATGTTCTTGAGCCCCTGTTTTGTCTTTCATTTTATCAAACATTATTTGCTACAGTAAATAATTTTCACCACATATTCACTCAATAATATATTTTACATACAAACCAATAAAATTATTTTACTTTTCAACCACACATCCTCCAAAAAATACTATTCAAACCTCTATTTCTTCTCCCAAAATGGGAGAGAAACAAGCACTGAATTTAAAGCTAGAAGTCATGATTTGGATTAGAGTAATGTTATTCATTCCCAGCGGAATTACAAACACAATCTAGGTGGTTCTAAATGATAAGTTAAATAAAATGTGAAATTAAATGACTTATTTAATTTCACATATTATTTAATGCTACATTAACGCCACCTAGATGGTGCTTGTAACCTCACTGAGGATGAATAGCATTACTCTTTGGATTAAATGAAGAGTTGGAATATCAATTTGAGTAAATTCTAAACTATGTTTCTTGATTATAACATATACGTGAACATTTAGTAAAAATATTGATTCGTCGACTTAAAAGAAAATTTATAATTTTTAGCTAATTTTTGTTCTGATTCCCAGTGTCTTGAGTTCTAAATATCCACAAGCTGGAAAGACTAAATTACCCCTAAAGAGGAGTTTAGTTTATGAATACTGAGTTCATGTCAGGCAACAGGTAACAACTCCATTCAAAATACTAGTCACAATAAAACACTGAGGAGCCAATAACTCTTATTAGCCAAAAGCACAAGTCACTTACCTCATATTTCCACCAATGTAATTAGCAAAGTTCATGTCAGGCAACAGGTAACAACTCCATTCAAAATACTAGTCACAATAAAACACTGAGGAGCCAATAACTCTTATTAGCCACAAGCACAAGTCACTTACCTCATATTTCAACCAATGTAATTAGCAAGTTCCATCAAATAAATAAATAGATGCAATTGAAATCTGCTAACCCAATGGCCTCTTCAAAAAGCAAAATCGAAAGATAATCTGGACAGAAATTACAGTAAGCCAACTGAAAGGAAATGGAACAACACTCACTACTGAAACACAGGATCTAGCACGAGAACTCCATCATTTGTTTTTCACTTAAATCTTGCTCCCGCCTTTATAAGCACCATCCGATGAAGACTTTTCGAACCAACCATTGATTCTAACTAGCCAGCTCAAGTGTCTTCAGAAAGCCCGGGTATTCCAAACCACGAAAGAACCCCTGTTTTGAAGTTCACATGGTTGAAAACCGGTGATGGCCTTTCCCATTAATGCCATAGCAGCAACACTAGGAAACTTCTTTTCATGGAGATTTTCCAGTGCCAATTTCGAGCTTTGTGGCTTACAAATCACCAAGGATTTAGACTTCTTTTGGGTAATTGTTGATCCATTATGTAGCCACCTTTGTACCCAAGTATGTGAAAGCAATGAATCTTTATCGATTTTTATGGGGTCCACATTAGTGAAATTGCCTTTACCTGATAAGTCTCCAGTCTTATCAGACACCATCAATTCTTTACCACAACAATTACCTACTGTTGGTTCCGAGCTAGTCATGTTGTCTTTACTAATTTTTCTGAAGAACCTGCTAATTTTTTCATGAGATGGGTTTTCACCCAAATCTGAGATCTTTGTGCCATGAGCTGGGGGATTTGAAGTGCTCAATTTGAGACGCTTGATCCATCTGTTGCTTGGATCAATTTTCTGTGAACCGTCTGGAATGGGATTAGACTTCAGATTACTAGGGTGCGTAGCATGGGTCACCAGCACATCCATGTCCAAACTTTTAGTCGTTGAGGAGCTAGGCCTTGCATTATCTGTTGAGTTTGCAGCAGCCGCCTCCAAGGCAGGAAGCTCCAAGTTCCTATTAGGTAGCATGTTTGACCAGTAACATCCAACTTCTGAGGAAGCAACATTAATTTGAGATGGTAAATCTGAATCCGTTCTGATAACCTGCAACATATTGAGACTGTGATGTAAAAGCTGGTGCAGCACATACACTTGAAAATGCAAGTGTAGTATGAACCAATTCACACATAGAAGTGAACAATCATTGGCTCAAAAAACTCGAGGCGATATGGTTTTGCAAAAAGCTTGAATTAGAAATATATTTTAAACAAAACAGTCGAGATGCATGCTCAGCCAATTGATTTTCTAGTTCTGGATCGACCTTCAGTCATTTCACAAACAACTAGGCATGTCCAATAGTGTATCTGATAAAGCATATTATGAAAGTACTGCACAACTGTTGGATTTCCAACCTTTCAAGTTCTTCATAACGTGCAGATTTCCAACTGGGTCAGGTATCTTTCCAACAATGATGGACTTGTCATCAATTATCTTGCCAATAAATTGAAAGCAAGACAGTTATTTGATATAACCACACCGCTCCCAAAGTACTTGACATTCTCTGCACGAGTTTTCTACTGGACTTTTTAACTTTTTTCCTTTCTCAAACTTGATATTATGCAAGGAATACTATATCAACACACTATTCACCTCGAATTTCCAGAAGTTCTTACTGAGACATTATTCTGATGCATGCCATGCTAGATATTTGATAATCGAAGAAACATGCAGGTGGAGATCTTAAATGCAAATAAGAAGATACATAATTAAGAAGAATGAAAGACGTAGCCAAAGTACCTTATTTGACGGGGTGGAATTTGCAGCTGCAACAATAATAAAAAACAAACATTTTAATAGAAATTTAAAATTTATTGATTACAAAATAAACATGCCTAAGAAAGTTTGAAATAAATTATGAATGTTAGCCCCTGTTTGTCTACCTATTCTCCAATAACTCTTTTTTTTTTTCTAAAACTCATTTTTAACCATACTTTCTCACAATAAAATATTTTGCACTTAAACTCAAAACACATTCTCCAAAAAATCACTATTCCAAAACTCATTTTCCTCAAAAAAATCTTTTTAATGGGCATACATGGCAATAATTAAGCATTAAACTTTTGAGGAAAGATATTAAACTTCAAAATAGTTAGTCTATCATCTGTACACTAGATATTATATAAAATTTCAAAACTAATCAGAAGAAATTCCTGGCGAGAATTAATATTTAATACGTACCAGAAAACTGGTTCTTCTCCTTAAAAGAATCCACATCCATGGTGTCAATCTTGGTTGATGAATCATTCTTAACAATAACTTTAGAAGACTTGACGCCTTTAACATTTTCTTTCCCTTCACTATCTGTTGAACTAACTAGAGCTTGAAGCTTTACTCCTTGCTGACCTTGACCATAATATGGCCACAGGTTATGAAAATCCCCGGTTTTATTTCCGTTGAATACAGTAACTAATCTTCTATCTCGGAGAAAATCATTTTCTTTAGATGAATTGACATCAGTCTTTTTTGTGAGTAACAGACTGTGAGTTGTCTGAGAACACCTGGAACAACCTCCAGGTTCTCCTTCTCCAGAGTCCACATTAGTGTATATTCTCATTGTCTTGGCATCATCCACGAAATTTGGCAACTTTTCCAGAGAATAACGATCAGTATGTGATTTCTTCAATTTGGTTTTCTCCAAAGCATTGGACTGACTTGGAAATGGTCTCATACCAGATAACTTTTGCATCTTCTGGAACCGCTCTCTACCAAATACTGACAACCGACCATCACTCATGGAGGGAGCATCAAGTGACATTTGTGTATCACTCTCGCTGAATCGAGCATTTCTGGGATTCCCTGATTGTGAGTCACTGTCTATTTCTCTCCCATAAACTAAAAATGCTGACTTCCTGTGAATATTATGATGTTCACGCTCTAGCGTTCTCAGGCTAGCATTAGCCAATTGATTGTAGGAAACTATGGCAGATCTATCAGTGAATGAAGAGACGGCTGTTTTTCCTTTGTTATACTCATATTTCCTTTTGTCAAATCCATTTGGTACTAGATTTGATGATGATCCGACAAAATACTCCTGGGAAGGCTTTGATACTGCAAAGCTACCAAAAGAAGGCCCTGATGCTTCATCAGTTCCTTGGCCATGCCTTGCTTTGGAACTACTCCCACTATACGTAAAAGGACTAGCCATTGGGATGTATTGACAACCAAACACCTCATTTCTCAAGTTCCTTGAGCTCGTGCCTAGGTCATCATTCATGATCTCAAGAGATGTAGTTTCAATTTCTCCAAGTCTTCTCACAGACCTAGAAGCCTCTAATCCATTCATTGGATGATATTGCATAGTAACTCGATCAAGTTCTTTGTTTCCCGAAGCATTAGCTATATGATTGTGAGTTTCTGCTGTCACATTATAGCTTGTTCGTGTCCAATGAGACATCCAAACAGATTTCATAGATCGTCTGCACCTCTCATTGGTATCATTAAATGCCTGGGCAGTGTGATCCGACATGATGAGTTAAGCTACAAGTCAGCCTTCAGTAGTTCTCAGAGGTTTATGCAATTCGGCCAGATGAAGAAAACTATGGAAACAGATTTAGATTACAGCGGCACAGTCAGAATATTTGTCCTCGGAAATTTAACAGATTATACATCCTTTAATGTGCATAATTTTATCCAGAAATTATGACTCAATGAGGGTTCAATGGTGGCTGTCCAAAACCAAGACGAAATGTGCTTAGCTTCTCTGCTCCATGCTTCAAAGGAACTGGATAAGACTGAATCTGAAAAAGTCAAATATGATGGCTTGGTTAGCCAAAAAGTTGCTGTAACTTGTCATAGACTGTAATAATTAACAGATGCATAGCATGTTGTAATGGCTTATATTGCCCAAATCGAGTCAATGATGAGATATTCAGACAAACCTAAAAAAACTCAATTTCTTTGAGTTTGAACTACGTACAGGAGAATTAAAAAATTGAGCCAACTATAACAAGTAGAGGTAGTTAAGCTTTATTCTCATATCCCAATAAACTTGACGTCAATTACAGGAATCATTGTTTGTTGACATCACATATTTTGCAACTGCCTCAGAGATCTTAACTTTTATCTTTCTTTCATTCTTCTATCCTATTTTGAACACTGTGTTACTACTGTGAACCTGAGTTCCTTTATTTCTATGCAACATATACTCAAATAACCATTTAAGGCATATTTCTTTAATTTATACTCAGGTGGACACCTCCACTTTCTACCAGAGAATCTTATTTCTTACTTTATTCATTCTAGTTTTATTTTATTATCATATTAAGATGCTCATTTGTGTTAAATTCATCAATACTAGATACCAAGAAGTATAGCTGGTTTAATAATTTTCATGTAGAACTTATCTTTTATTTAGCGAATATAATCTTATCACATAAAACTCTTCTATCAATTCTCTTCAAGTCATCCTTCCTTCTTAACAGTCAAACTTACGGACCCAAGCCAGTCACTCAACGAGATAGATCCTTCATATATTTTCCTACCATCCATCATCACACTCCCAAGGCATGCAATTACCTGCATTCTCTAAATGAATAAAATTGTACAATAATCCTGTTTCTTTTTACTATACCTTTCATGGGAAAGGTAAATGGCTTCTCCAGCACATCTACCTGGCATAAAACCAAATGGACCTTGAGACCTTTAATAATACCTCAAATTGTGTCCAATATTTTCATAATATATGACATTACAGGCCATTGATCCACAAAAGATGAAGTATTAAATTCTTAGACAAACAAAACCTAGTGAAAGAACTGCTTTAAATAACAAAGAAACATATATTAGTTCATAAAAATAGTGAATTGAAGTGCCTTTTACCAATTTTTTTCCAACAAAAGAGCTCTTCGAGACAAAAAGTCTGTTTTCCATCCCTCGGAATTTCTCAATCCTAACACCCAAACACTGTGACATCGAAAAACGAAAAAAATAAAAATAAAAAACACAGTTTCAGTACAAACCTCAAAATCATTATTTTTCGATTAAATTCATTCTCACCTCGAACATCTCACAATTCGGCTGGTTTAAAACTTCCTTTAATTTAATTAAGAAGCTATAATTCAACAACTTAAGTGCAATACAAAGAAAGATACCACAATGTGAAGTAAAAAACAAATAAATAAAGAGTTAAAAAATCAAATAGTGCTAACACATACAACATCAACCAATCTATACAATTAAAGGTTTCAATTTCCAGCTTCTCCATTAAAGATCCAAACCAAAAAAACAAAAGGAAAAAGGTAAATCATCCACGACACAACAAGCACCGTGCTATCAGTATATATGCAAAATATACTCATAACAATTGAAGATAAACATGTACCAGTAACAAATGAACTCCGCAAATTCGCCTTTTAGACAACTCATCTCAGTAACCACTGATTTTTGCAGGAAAGACAGAGAAGACGAATCAATCCACCGCTGTAAACACTGATTTTAGCTGAAATACGACAGGAGGTGAAGATCCAGAAGCAAAACCAAAGAATTATCCTCGAATGATTTTCGCGGTCTGTACACAGAGATCGAACTTCTTCAAAGTCTCTTCACTGGATTAGAGAGGACTAAGAACACACACGAAACTATTACTACATCTCAAAGGCGATCTGTGGCCACCGCTGGCTCTCGAATGTTTGCATATGTTAATCATGCTTTATTAGTGTATGTACCAAAAATGATGTACAAGTGGCTTTATTCGTGTGTATGTGTATGTTTATGTGTCCTATATATATAGTACAGAGAGTAGAGAGAGAAGACTGTAGGGAAAAAGGTGGAGAGAGAATGGAGGCTGAAGCCAAAGCTTTTTATTCTTCACTCCAAGCCGATGAAGACATGGCTCTTCAGAGTTTCAAGTGGAGAGGCCAATTTATGTGCACTTTTTCTTTATTTATCGAGTTTTCGTTTAATTTCATTATTTTTAAAATATATTTTTTTTTTCTTTTCTCACATATTTTTCAATAAAGTAATACTACACATAAATTTTAAAAAATTCATTATTTTTTAACCATATATTTTTCATCAATTTATTATTTCAAAATATATTCTTTAATAAAAATGAGGCTCAAACATGTCTCAGTCATATTTTGTGTACAATATTGTTGACAACATTACTAGTCAATTTAAAAAATAATTTATCTTTTCAAAAAGCACTTTTTTGTCACCTACAACATTATCAACAGTGTTGTAAAAAAATATTGTACAAATAAGTTTATCCATATTTATTTCATAGTAAAGAAATAATCATTTTTAATAAAAAATAATTTTATTAATTAAAAGTAGAAAAAGGTCAACTTGCAAAATATATTTAGGGACAAGAAATTACTTTACCTTCTAAAACTTAGCCAAGCATGCAAAAAGACAAGCATAATAATATTAAAATCTATATTTATAGTTTGTTAATCGATTGTTCTAGGAGAGATGCTACACTGTGGCAATGTACAAGTAGAATAATATTTCTTCTAGAGCACCAAGCATATTGATATTGTATCGCCTTTTTTGACAAGGATTTATAAATTCATATATATAAAGATCCAATTGCTTATTTATGACAAGATTTATCCTACATGACACCTTGGTGTACATAATGTCTCCCAGCAGCCAATGATGAATTATCATTTGGACATTATGTACACGAACGTGTAAACCCGACAAGACTCATAACAAAATACTAGGTAAAAACTAAGAAATATATTTTTATTCAACGAGTATATGTAATTATCAATTTATATGATAGTGATTTCACTATATACATTGGCCAACAAATTTTGAATATCTTTTTATTCATTTTTAGACGGGACATTCGACATCCAATTGTCATACAGAATAATGACGATCAACTAAGTTCTAGATGGATAATATTACTCAAACTAAAAATATGTAAACATAGATAATATGTGATTAGGGGTGATAATGGGCCAAGTTGACTTGTCCATTTTTAATTTTTTTTTTTTTGAAAAAATTAATAAAATAAGTCAAAAAATAACTCAATTTACAAGCTAAAGATCAGTCGGTTCGTAAACATCACAAGACCTTTCATTTATGGTTGATGTGACAACACATTGCAGCACCCACTTTACCAAATCAACACGTCAAATCTAACCCCTACATGCTAGGCCTAGGCTGCATTTGGTCATAACACTAAAGGCATCTGAGCCTAAGTCCGACTGATTGATACCTAGACAAGGTGCATGCCTCAATTGATAAGATGAGGACATGTGTCTCTTCATCCAATGATTCGTACTCATCACCTTCTATTATAAAAGTTTACACATTATGCTATTCAAATGTAATGTAAATTTAGACTCTTAAAGTATAACTCTGCTTCATTACTCTATATTACTTCCCAGATTCGAACCCCTTTTCACTTATGTTGCTCATGTCTTAAGCACATCCTATACTCAAATACTTAAACATTGTTTGACTTGAATGTTAGAGTACACATGGCTATATCCTTCTCCGTCAAAGAAGCTCATGTGTTACTAATGATTTGATCAAGTGTACAGAAAAGACGCTACAAGGATGTAAGAGGCATTGGGATTTGTTGGTCACGTTACCTTATAAAAATCGAGGTCAACATAGGCATGATTATTTATCGTGAGTGGATAGAAAAAATGGACTTCAGTAACCTTATAACTTTATTGGTATGATCGATTATGTTTAAAAATAAGTGATTAAGTTGTCAAGCTTGATGATTATAGTCAAACGTGAGTTATTTGTAGTTATTTGTTCCAATGATCACTGAACTTATGTCTATTGTCTTTAATTGCTCACTAAATTTTGAGATGTCAAGTTTTGATCATTAAACTTTAAAAAACATTGGACGTTACTTGGTGGTATAACTTCTATTTAAAACCTCTAACGAAATTGATGATGCGGTTGATAGAATGTAGACGTGGCGCCCTATCACACTGTTGAACTTTGAGATGATCGAATTTTGATCACTAAACTTTGAAAAATATCTCTGATTGCTTACTAAACTTTGAAAAACATCTTCTACACACACCAAACTTTAAGGTGGTCAAATTTTGGTCACTGAACTTTGAGATGGTCGAATTTTGGCTATTAAATTTTGAAATAGTTAAATCTTGCCTACTAAATTTTAAAAAAGCCCTCGTTGCTCACTAAATTTTAAAAAAGGTCTTCTATTGCTCACAATAAATTTGGATTTAATTAAAATTCGCTGCTAAGTTTTTTATTAAAATTTGAATTTAATTTAATTCTAACAACAAATTTAGCCCATGTTTGGTGTAGATTAAAATTTATATTTTAATCTAAGGGTCCGTTTGATTGCAAAATTGAAAAATTAGTGGAAAGAAAATGAATTTCAAGGAATTGAATTGCCTAAAATTATTTTATTGGGAATTGTAATTAATTGTATTTGATTGATATAATTTTCTACCTGAAAAATGTTGAAAGTTTGATATCCGTTTGACTTTATTTTTCATGAAAATTGTCCATTAAAATTATAATTTT